CCCGCCGAGTAGCTCTGGCCATCCCGACGGCGAGGGTCGCGCGGGGCCCGCGGCCGCCTCTCGGGCGCTCGCTGCGGGTCCAAGGACCGAGCGCTGCGCCGGTTCAAGACGCCCAGCTCGCTGGCCGCGTACGGAACGGGCCCATCCCTCGCACTCACGCACACCGCACTAGGTCCGTCTCTCTCGCATCGGGCCAGAAGTGGCCCGCGGTCACGATGTTTGTGGCCCCTGAGTGGCGCCGGTTAGCCGTCGCGCCTGCGAGACTTTGGATAGGCAAGCCCGCCGTACACTCATGTACTACGGACACGATAAGTTGCCTATCTATCGGGTGGTGTGAGGGCCTTGCTACGGTTAGAGAACTTGGCAATTTTCTAACATGCCCGGACGAATGAGGTTGACGGACTTTCTGGGATAAGCTTAGGACGATCCTTTCCGCAGTATTGATATATGTAGGTGGTAATTGACCTTTGCCCGATTCGTCAAGCAATGTTGTTTGACGTTTCATAGTCCCTTATTACGTCTTTATCTTTTTTTTATAACATTTTATCTTATTTAATAAGAATTTTACGACGTCATGTATGACGTTATAAGATTTTATAACCCTTAAACCATTAGAGTCAAAAGAGGCCTGAATGCGTTGTAAGATTTTATAAGTGTGTTGTTGCTCTTAACAAAGACGTATTAGCTTTTTATAAAGTGCTATATAAGCCTTATTAAACTTTTAAAACACAGCCCAGGCCGTCTGCTGTTTATTACTCTTTATAAAACAACGTTTATAATATCTTATTAAAGTGTTGAAAATTTTATAACCGTTTCTTAGTTTGTTGTAACATCTAATGAAACACTTTATAAATACAGCTTGGTTACTTGTCTTTATAAAGAATATTCTTATGAGATTTTATAAGAAAAGTGTTACTCTTTATACCACTTAATAAATGATTATAAAACCTCACATTTCTTATAAAAACTTATATGTTTCATGGTTTTTTATAACAGTTGGTACTAAAATTTAATAGCAAGTAATGAAACGTTTATAAAGTTTTACTAAAATTTTATAAAC